TATCAATTTCATACATTATATTCAAAATCATGTATCTCGGATACATAGTAAACACACATATAATTATGTGTATCTAAATATGAAATGTAATTGAAACACACGATTTTAGGAACAAATCACGACAGTGGAGTATTTATCTTATCATTGATCCAAAAAAAGTTAAAAATTCAAAATTCTCCCTTTCTTTAAGTATTTGAATTTTTTTCTCATAGATACATATAATCTTAACTCAGATACATGAACTCTTAACTAGATACATGTACACCTGATGTGTATCCAACATTGTTGCACTTGATGTGCATCTAATGGTGTATTTTTTCTGTTAATTAAAGCTTGACGTAATTCTTTTATCTTGATTAGGTCGTTCCTATTCTTAGATCTGTTATCGACTTGAATGGTTGGCGTATGAACAGCCACTAAAATGGAATGGAGAAATAACAAACTCAAACAATGTAAAAATTCTAAAATCTATTGGTTAAAAAAATTTAAAACATTGATTCAGATACGGTTGAAACCTTACTTTACCACTTCAACTAATGTTGATTATGTAGAGAACTAGAGATGGATATGAATCGTGTACATGCAAAATGTGTATTGAACTGCTAAGGAAGAAGGGGTAATGAGGGTTGAGGGATACGTGTGGGAGTGGGAAAGAAGGGGTGAGGGTGGGATAGTGTGAATAGGATACAATAATTTTGAGATTGGGGAGGGAAGCGGCTGAATTGAAAAGAGATAAAATTAATTTGAATTATTAGTGTCCCACTAATTAAGGAGATGTAATTTTAAGATAATTATTTATTACTATTTTTTAGGCATTGTGTATCTGATTTAATTTTCTAAAATATATGGTATATTTATTAAAAAGTGGTACTCTATGTAATATTTTTAAAGTAGAGATAAAATATGTATATATGATAGTATAGTATGTCTATATAGGTAGTTTTTCCTATTTTTAATAATAATGGGCCAAGTCTGAAATATTAAAATAGGTTAATAGGAATTATTACTTTTAATACATAATGAATTTAGAAAAGAAAAAAAAAACTTGAGCGGCGGCCGAAGCGAGAATTGGAAAACTGCTCAATCAGGTAATGCTAAATCTTTGATATTCTATAGTTGGATTGGAATGGAATAGAACCTGTAGTATAGTTGTTAATTGGGTTGAAGAAAAAGGAAAAAAAACATAAATAAAATAAATAAATCAAAAAGGGGTGGGAATTGATAAGTTGTTCAACGTGTTGGGATTTGGATAGCAAATTGTCACTCAATCATTGGCTAATCACATTGCCAATGATTGATGCATGGTAATAAATGGCAATAAGAGGAAGGTTACTACTAACGTACTGTAAGTTACACATTTGGGTCATGTTATCGCTGCCACTGGTTTTTGTAACCAGTGCCTTCGATTCAATAATATTAATTGTTTATTATATTATAAATTTAGTTTTAGTATATTGGTTATCAAATTAAATAGTAGGTGCGTTGTCTTATATGATTACTATTAAATTTATGATTTTGGAGAAGTTGGAACTTAACCCTAAATTTGAAATTTGGAAAATATGAGAGTTGGCATGTAATTGGCATCAAAATTAGGAATTTGATTATAGATTCAAGTGAGTTTTTTCTAGGTTAAACCTATAGTAATATGGGTGTTGTTAGTTTCAAAACCTTATTGTGATTATTTACTTGAATAGATTGTATTGATTTGGAAGCTCAACGAAAAGAGAAGGCGTAAGTCCCGGGGTGATTGTTTGATTGTTTGAGGCAAGTGAATTTCTAAACTCTTGTTAAGTGTATGAAATTCGTGTATTTCCTTGTAATATGTGTTTGGGATTAATGGAATTGATGATGGGTTGACTTGTCCATGTTGAATAATTCTAATGATTGAAAAGGGGTAATAAAAATGTAATGTGCTTGTTGTGCCGTAATTTTACTATCTCTGGAAAAATCACTTTTTGAAATGTTCTAAGTATAAAACAATTGAGAAAAATACTTAGAAAAAGAGTCGCCACTTAATTTTTTAAAGAAATTAAGAAAACTTATAATTTTCAAAGATTTAAACCGAAAAATCATTTGAAAATACCAAAGAGGGTTCGGGGTTCAATTTACACTTTCGAGAAGGGTTTTAAGCATTCGAAGTGTCCGCTAACATGCGGTTGACCTGCGACTTGACTAAAACATATTTGACTATTTTTAGGAAAATAATGATTTAACATAAAAAATAATAACTTACAATATTTGATTATATTTGAGAAAATAATTAAATAAATGATGCTTTTTTTAATTATTTTTTTATTTTTAGAGAAAGGGAACCAAAAATGAAACATTTGAATTAAATTGCTAGTGATTAGAATGTTAATAAAACTAGATTAATTAGAATTTATTTAATTCATTTTGAAATAATAATTTAAACCAATTTAATAAATTAAAGCATAAAAATCATTTTTTAAAATTTTTTATTAATTGACTATCCCTTTAGAGAAAATGACTAAGTAAATATTCATTAAGGTTTTGACTAACATTTTTTAAAGTTTATTTGAGAAAAACATTTTTTAACATAAAACAAAAATGAGTAAAAAAAAAAAGTGATTTAAGTGAAGAAGCATTAAAGAACATCTTTTTTAAGGACCAAAGGTTTAACTTAATAAAATTTTGACCAATATACTTAATTAATAAAATAAATGAACACAAAAAAAAAAAGTATTAAAATTAAACCAACACAAAGAAAATAACTCATCTTTTGAGGAATCTAATTAAGCTAATTCACAATTATAAAGTTAGAGTTAATAATCAGAAAACAAACAATAAAATAATTTAAAGGCAAAGGGAAATGAATTTGGGCCTTTCTTGGGCCTGCTGCAATTGGGTTTGGGCTTTGACCCTACTTTTGCCCCTTGAAATCTTGTATATACACCAAATGTATACAGCTATATACGGGTCGCGTCATGGCCCATTTTTCTGTATATTGAACCGTATACCAATTGCATACGATCCACTTCAACCTGTTTTTTCGTTTTTGAACCTGTACATGGTATTTTAGTACGTATGCTAGTGTATACAACATGTATATCAATGTATACATGCTGTATCTCAGCCCGCTTTCAGCTTTCCGGAACCTGTTAATCCAATTTCAGGCCTTATTTGATGCTTTCAACCTGTACACCTGCTCTCGACGGCCTGACCAACTCAAATGACAAAGAAAAGAGCCTTTATGGCTCAACTCGGAAATGCAAAGAACAGAAGTCCACCATGGACTCGGGAGGGGTTCATACAACAAGCAACAAAGAGACAACATCAACATTCGAAATAGCGAAACAAGTATAAAAGAAATAACCAAACATGTCAACACACCAAGAAAAGAGCAAATGGGCAGAAAATATAAGCCATGAGGGATTATAGCTTGCGCGAGATAAAATTACTACATAAAAATCCAAATCAATCCAAATATACATCACCAAAGGCATGCTTGACAAGGATAACAATTCAATACATGCTAATGGGAATGCTTAGAATCGCATAAAAATGAAATTAAGAACGGACATACAATGACTCTAATACATACTCAAAACAACTACTTATATAGCCAAAATAATTACAGAGAAAAAGAGAGCACGCCAATGATCTTGCTACATGCTAGACCGAGAAGGGAGCAACCTAAGACATGCTCTTAAAATGGCGACGAAACTCACGTGATTTGGATAAGAGTTAATGAATTAAAGCCTTTGTCAAAATCTAGCCTAAACAAACACATTCTAGTCAAAATAAACATGCTGACTCTAGCTTATTCATAATTAGGCACAAAAAAAAATAAAAAAAATAAAAAAAATAAAATATATATATATATATAATAATAATCAAACTATAACAATTAAATCTTTAGCAAATGGGCTACTACTACACCACTAAAAATAGCTAAACAACATACAAATCATGCTAAGAAATATACTTTCCAAAGAGAAAAAATGACAAATCTTAAGGCAGCACAACAATTCCAAATTAACATACAACAACATAGCATATGCTTCAGCCTCACGAACAAAATCATTCGATGCCTACATATATATTGGAATGCTAAGAGCAAGAACAAATGAACAACAACCTCTAATACATACCCAACTCTCGATTAACCATGAGAAGTCAAACATATTCAAGCGATCTCAAAATCAAAGAAAAATCAGTCGATATGAACAACATCACAATTTATTCGAAAAGAAAGAAGGAAAAGTAGGAACAAGAATATTACCTTTCCCGGAGCAGCGATACTAGGATGACGAGAAGAGCGATTCCACCACTCTATTTGAATACTAAAGGCAAGCTAAGAAAATTCGAGCGGCGATCTTCTCGGAACTTAGAATCGGAGAGCTAAATATAAAATTCGTAAGTGTAAAGCGATTATTGCCAACGAACCGAACTCAAAAAAAAAAAACCTTTTTTCCTCCCTCAAACAGTGATTGTTATGCCGTAATTTTACTATCTCTAGAAAAAACACTTTTTGGAATGTTCTAAGTATAAAACATTTTGAGAGAAATACTTAGAAAAGAGTCGCCACTTAATTTTATAATGAAATTAAGAAAACTTATAATTTTCAAAGATTTAAACAGAAAAAAAATCATTTGAAAATACCAAAGAGGATTCGGGGTTCAATTTACACTTCGAGAAGGGTTTAAGCATTCGAATTGTCCGCTAACATGCGGTTGACCTGCGACTTGACTAAAATATATTTTGACTAATTCTTTGGAAAAATGATTTAACATAAAGAATAATAATTTACAATATTTGATTAACTTTGAGAAAATAATTAAATAAATGACACATTTTTTTTTATTATTTTCTATGTTTTTAGAGAAAGGGACCTAAAATAAAACATTTGAATTAAAACGCAAGTGAATAGAATTTTAACAAAATTAAATTAATTAGGACTTACTTGACTCATTTTTTTTAAAATAATAATTTAAACCAAATTGGTTAATTTAAGCATGAAAATCATTTTATATTAACTGAAGTATAAATAAAAATTTGACTAAAGATATTCAATAAAAGTATAAGAGTTGATTGAAAAATTAATTTTATTAAAATAAACTAACATAAAGAATATGGTTCGTCTTTTGGGAAATTTAATTAAATTAAACCGAATCAAATCAAATGTTAGAGTTAAAATTAAACAAAAATAATTACAATAAAATATAAAGAGAAGGATAGGAATTTGGGCCTTTTGGGCCTATTGCTGCCCAGAAACATTGGGCCCAAAGCTGCTGATTTTTTGGGCTTTGGCTCAATTCTAATTTTTATATACAAACTGTATACTGTCCGTATATCAGTGTATATAACTCAGTTTTTAACTCTCGAGAGCTGTAATTCTGCTCCCCTTTCACTGTAATCCTGTCTTTCAACCTGTATCACGTATACCAAATGTATACGGTCTGTATATTGGCCTGTATATCAGTGTATACTGCTGTATACGACCTATTTTTGGCTATAAAGATCCGCATTTTTCTGTTTTCCAGCCCTGTGCTTCTGTTTTATGTGCCTGGCTGACTCGAATGATGACGAAGAAATAAATTGAGCCTTTATCGCTCGACTCGAGAATGCTAGGAAGAGAAGTCCACTATGGACTCGGAAGGGGTTTACATGCACACAAAGAGGAGGAAAAGAATTAGAAAAAGAGGAAAAGGTAAAACTTCCATCAAATATATGATCAAGTAATTAACTCTAGACGAAGGTAGACACATAAATTATTTTAAGATATGAGAACCTAAGTACGAACATTATACTTCTAGACAAAAGGGTGGTGATATTGTATTCAAAATGAGAGATAATTGTGGAAACTAATTAAGAATGGGACAAGCCATTAGAGAAAACTTTCTAACTAAACAAAAATACATAATATCAACTAAAGAGATAAAACGAGATCAAAGGTGAACTAAAAAAATTGATTATTATGCACAACTACATAAGGCAAGAAGGTCACGGAGGAAAATTATCATTTTAAAACATCTAGATATAACTCTTACTATTAAACTTTAAAAAAACTTAACAACTATAAGGAACATTTCTAAGTTAATGGGCAAAAAAAAAAAAAAACCGACTCACTGCAAAACTAAACCAACTACACATTTTAAAAGCTCATGGCATCAGGTAGCATTCCAAAACATGTGAACGAAAGTATATGACAACTAACTTAAAGGACACATGAAAGGATATAGAACATATTAAGGGAAGCAATAACGACTAATCTAATTTGAACTTGAGAGCATATTTATTTATTGACTATTAGCAACATATAAAGACTACATTGAACGTTAATAAACAAACCAACAAATTTGGGGCACTCACTAAACATGATCAATGCTACAGAATTGAAGTTGGATAACTTTAAAGGCTAGTAATCATCTACTCTTGCACAATAATAAAACCATCAAAATCTGGAAGTACAATACTTAACAGATAAAACCAAGGTGGTAAAATCTTACACTTCAACTATTGAGCCCGTTTAATCACATCAAACAGATAGTCAAGACTTATCATGAAAGTAGACTTTATTTAACATGATCGAATAGAATGTAGATGCTTGCTACGCTCACATGGTTAGGAAACAAAGTTTTCACGGAAAGGATTAGAGGCTTTAGCATCGAGGTTGTGGATCGTGGAAACAAGCAGGTTATAATAACACTACGCCTTGAAGCCAAAAAAAAAAGAACAAAACAATAGCAAGACATGGACAACATTCTAGTATGTAAAAGCAGCAATTGGATTTAAATAGCATGAGATTGAGCTAATATTGATAAGAGTTTATTATAATGAATAAAAAGCGACAGAGAGGACAACCAAGGCTACGATTAAGCAGTGAAGAAATAGAACTTATACATTTAGCACACTCAAAGTTGAAACCAATCAAACAGCGGATCATCTCGAGGAAACTAAACAAGTTCATCTAGCTTTATAGATACAAAATCGAGCCAAAAAATCTAAGGACTAACATACAATACTAAAGTGACTTCATTGATGCTTGAATCATGCTTACTGCTCAAAAACTCAGAGGAAAACGATACTAAAGCAAAGACTTAAAAGCGAAGGAACCAAACATTCTTAATAACAAACTCCATACCAAGTATCGAACACATAGCACACCATATCGAAAACAGAACGTAACAAAGCATGTTGTGTTGATTGCTTCTGCCCAAAAGTTCATAGCCAGCCCTGAGTCAATCAGCATAGTCCTTGCAATATCAACCAGAGTTCTGTTCTTTCTCTCAACCACTCTGTTTTGTTGAGGAGTTCTTGGTACAAAAAAATTATGATTGATTCCATTTTCAGCACAAGAACTTTCAATTTGAGAGTTCTCAAACTCTGTCCCATGGTCAAATCAAATACTAGCAATCTTGCAGTTGACTTTCAGTTGAATTGCTTTGGCAGAAGCAATCAGAATTCCAGCAGTCTCATCCTTTTTCCGCGGAAACATATTCCAGGTGTACCTCATCTGCTTTGACTTCTGATAGGTCCACACAGATCCATGTGGAGAAGTTCCAAAGGTCTGGTAGTGCTCACACCCTTCTTTGCCTTGAAAAAAGATCTTGTTTGTTTGCCTTTTGCACAGGCGTCACAGAATTTGTCATTTGAGAACTTCAGCTTTGGTAGTCCGCGGACTAGGTCCCCTGCAACAAGCTTGTTAAGTAAAGAGGTACTTACATGACCCAGTCGTCTATGCCAAGGATTTGCATCATCATTTTGAGCACTCAGACATGACAAGTTGTCTCCTTCAATAGAATCAAGATCAGCAACATTAAACATTCTTGACTTTATTTGCATACATTACAATTTTCTTAGTTGCACAGTTTGTAACCACACACCCTTCAGACATGAACTTGACTTCATTTCCCTTGTCACAAATTTGATACACACTTAAGAGATTAAACTTCAGACCATCCACATAGTGTACACTGACTATGGAATGATCTGCAGTTCTTCCTATCTTGCCAATACCAAGAATAAAACATTTCTTTCCACCGCCAAATGACACACCACCACCTTGGTGTGCTTCTAAAGAGAGGAAGTTTAGAGTATTTCCAGTCATATGCCTTGAGTGTCCACTATACATGTACCAACATTGACTGCTCCCTCTCTTTTGCACAAGAATCACTTATTAAGCTTAGGAACCCACTTCAAACGGAGTTCCCAAAAACTGTCAAAAGGTTTAATGAGAAACCTTCATGTCCATGGAGGTAAAGTGTTCTTGCTAAAACAATAACGAGGACCAGGTCCCTTGTGTCCCTTTTTAACATCATTTTCAGATCTAATAGATTTCACATGCCTTTCTTTAGCTTTTCTCAGACTCTCACATTTCTCTTTCAAATGACCATTTCGACCACAGTGAGTGCACAAAAGGTTGTCAGATACAGACACATATTTGCTATGAGGATTATATGGGGGTTCTATTGGTCTGCGTCCCAACCCTTTCTTTCCATTAAAACTCTGATTAGATAGATTAGAGAGTATCTTAGAGGAGTTAGTCCATTTTAGAGAGTGGCTTAACTCCTCCTTGACCGTACTCAGATCCTTTCTCAGTTGAGAATTTGTTTCAAGAGAAGCAACTAACTTGGACTTAAGGATTTTACGTTTTTCTTCCAGTTCTTCCTCAAGGATGCTAAGCTTTCTCTTTCCACCTACTAAGGTACCAGGTCCCTCACTGGGTTCCAGACTATCACTCTCAAGGATACCTATCCTGATACTCAGTTCAGACATTTGAGTATTAAGAACTGAGTTTTCATCTTCGCACAGACTCAACTTTTCACTTATTATCAAATTTTCAGAGGTCAGTTCATCAATTGAGTCAATTAATAGAGCAGCAAGTTTTCTCAATTTTTTAATGGGAAGAGAGTCTAAATCATCTTTAAGATCGAGAAAAGTTACCTCATTTTGGTCCTCTTTATCATCGAATTTAGCCATTAAAGAGAAAATGGAGTTGAAGACATTTTCATCATCTTCAATAGCCATCATTGAAAAATCTTCATAACTTTCTGCATCTTCTTCTGACTCGCTTGAATCATCTCCCCATACAACAAATGTTTTTCTCACCAACTGATCAGTATGGGCCTTCATCTGAGCATGGTTGGGACCAGGTCCCTCTTGCGCAGTTTGGTGTCATAAGTTTCCTGCTTTTGACTGGGGCAGTCCTTCATGAAGTGACCAGGCTTGCCACATTTATGGCAGAGATCATTTGCAGTAACAGTTCTGCTAGCAGAGGTTTTCTTTTGGAAGCCTCCATACTTCTTGATGATCTTATGAAATCTTCTACTGACATACGCTATCTCATCATCCTCCTCAGTCACCTCACCTTGAGACGTTTTCAAACCAATGGACTTTTCCTTCTTTCCTTCCTTCACAGTCGTCCCTTGTTTCTTGTTCATCTCATAGGTCTGAAGATTTCCAATCAGTTCATCCATGGGAAGAGTCATTAGATCTTTGGCTTCTGTTATGGCATCCACCTTGCTTTCCCAAGATTTAGGAAGCACTTTGAGGATCTGGCGAATTTGCTTGCTGACAGGAATAGGCTCACCCAGACATCTAAGCTCGTTGGTAATGGAGATGAATCTTGAGTTCATTTCAAAGATAGTTTCACCTTTCTTCATACAAAAATTCTCGTATTGAGTCGTAAGCATATCGACCTTAGACTGTTTTACTCGTTGTGTTCCCTCATGGGCTGTTTGGAGACAATCCCATATCTCTTTGGCTGATTCATAGGCAGAAATTCTGTTGTATTCGTCTGCTCCAATTCCACACACCAGAATCTTCTTTGCCTTGTAGTTCTTTTCAATCTATTTCCTATTTGCCTCATTGTAGTCTTTTCTGGTTTTGATCACAGTAGTGGTAAGCTCCCCATCATTCACCTCCTTTGTAAGAATATATGGTCCATCAAGGATAATGTCCCACAACTCAGAGTCATCAGCGTTGATGTAGTCATGTATTCGATTCTTCCACCAGCCATAGTATTGTCCATTAAAATGCGGTGGCCTGGTGGAAGACTGACCTTCTTCCATTTTGGGTGGAGCAGTCATTCCTTCTGGATCTTATCTTTTCTTGGTGTTCACCACAATGAAAAGACAAGCTCTGATACTACTTGTTGGAATATATGCGTCCACTAGTCTAGATGGGACCAGGTCCTCAGCACAGTTACAATAACAGAAAATAAACAAAGTGTTGAAAGTAAAGATTGCACAACAACATTACGTGGAAACCTCTTTGCTCAAGGGAGTAAAACCACGACCTGGCCTGCCAGGACTTTTCAAACTTCTTTCACTAATCATCTCAGCAAAAGTAAAAGCAAGTTTACAAACCGAGATTAGCCTACTAATCCCAACTCTAAGCAATACCTCCTATTACTTAGATGAGCCAGAGCAGATACAACACAGCCCACTAAGCTATCACCCCTAGATAACTTAGACTTTGCTAAGCGGATACAACACCGCCCACTATACTAATCCTGACCGATTAATATAGACTTTAGAGTAAGACCCTAAGTTACCCTTAACCTAGTTCTTACAATGATTCACACAAATTTGAAACGTTTCTTTCACAAGTGAAACGAATCCTACAATGTAAGCATTATTACAAGCAAACAAAGTAACAGATGGTACAAGAAGCTCTTGAAGTAATCGATCAAAACCCTTGTTGTTCTTAAAGCTTGAAATATTTCTCTCTTTGAATGAATGAGTAATATTGTTGTATGTTGTTTGATATATACCATGAAGAGTTATTACCAAACGTACAAGCAACCTCCTTGCTTCTGATTGGTGAAGTACTGTGCAGCTTCACCAACTTTTTGACGCAAACAGCTTTTACAGTTGTACAACACTTTGACAGCTGGACGAGTATTCATACTCTGCAGAGGACCAGGTCCCTGCATTTGTGAGGAGATCATCAAAACATCTAGGAGCATAAGCACTAATCACTTCCCTTTGAGAAGGCATAGATTACGGTCAACGTTCAAGAGCTCCTTTACAATCTCTATATCTCCATTTGTTGAGGCAATATGCAAAGGGCTAAAACCATCCTGGTTTAGTTCTCTTGCAAATTCTGGCCTTAAATGAATGATCTCCTTAGTAAACTCAAGATGGACACTCAAACAAGCAATATGCAGAGGAGTTTTATTACTACCTTCTAATGAAATTGTGCTGAGCAGAAAAGGGACTTCTTTGATCAAGCTTTGCAAGTAAAGAACATCTCCTTTCTGAGCAGCCTCCCTCAGCCTTATGTCCATCGATTCTACCAACAAATTATGCAACTTTTTCGGTTTTTATCGTTTATATTTTAGTTTCATTCATCATGTTGTGCTCAGCAGGAAGGAATATCTTAGCTCTGAAAATCTCAAATTCAACTCTTTTAGAAAGGTGTTCAGTTTGACTTGTTTAGGATGAGAGTTTTCTTCTTGAATTAATTATTTTACATTCTCAGGTTTATTGAATAGTAAAACAAATGTTAGTTATCACTAAGCCACTCTCTTTTTGATATATTAAGTTCAATATGTCAAGTAAATTATGCTGAAAAAGTCAATAAAATGTATATAATTGTTGTGCTAAAACCATGCCTAATTGAGTTGTAGTTTATTTAATTAGACATTTGGAGATTTATGTATTTCTTAATCGTGTATTAGATATGTAAGCAATTCAAAGTCAATGTAATGTATATAATTGTTGTGCTAAAATCATCTGAACCTTTGTTGAATGGATCAATTAATTCAGAACATGACATGTATATAATAACTAGCTCTTTATCTTGTTCAAATAGTGATTATGAGTTATAAAGGTTATGTTTGATAAATTAGTATGTCAATTCAATGAAATAAAATTGAGGATTAAGTTGAATTGTCATGAAAGCATATTAATGGCATTTGATAGTAAAATTGATCATAGGTACGGAGTAACTTCGTCCACACAGACTTAGAAATGGGAAGAAACCACTTAACATTTTTTGACCCTCTAGAGTGTTGGTCTCCCTTGACTTTCCCTCACTTTATTGATCACTATGCTACACCTTTGGACGGGTCTATTGACAACTGCAGTCAATACTCGAATTGAGGTAATCCTAATATTAGGATGGTTAGCAAATTTAAAGTTAATGATAATCATATCATCATATTATACTAAGAGTGGAAAGAATGTTAGGCAAAAGTTAGATTACCATTTTTCGCTATATCAAATACTATTAATCATCTAATAAATTGTTAATTAAATATTAAATAGTAAATTTTACTTACTACAAGGGAGAGTTACACATTAAGCCAATATCAATTTCTTTTTGCTACAATTTATTCATGTTGTATGGTGAATTAATATTAAATTATTATAAGTAATTATTATCAAGAAGACAAAAAGACTCCTAATTATATTGTTTAATAAATTACAGGTGAAGACCAAAGGTTACATAATTAAGTAGGAAACTGATGGGCCTCTTTTATTTTATTTTTCCTTTCATCTCCCCTCACCTAAGGTTTTCCTATTTAAAGTCACCTAGAAAGGAAAATGAATTTATAAATCTCATATATGATCTTCTTAAAGTATGTTAGTGTTAATTCTCTTTATAAATTAAGATTCATTTTCTCATCTTTGGTATATCATTTCTTTCTTCTTTTTGATTTTCTTTCTGGTCATAGTCATAGACCGCAAAAGAAAAGTCATCAATCTTTGTAGAACTGTTAAGGGCAATAACATTATTGTTGTATGTCACGACCCAGACCGTCGTGATTGACACCCACACTAACACTCCGGTGGGAGAACCACTATTACAACCCAAACCAAGCAACTAAACCAAAACTAAGGCATTTAGGTTACGGAAGCAAGTTAAATACTAAGGAACTAGTTCCCATAAACGCCAACAAAAATCTAACAAGAACTAAACAATGCGGGTGAAATAATCTAGAACCTGAACGCCAATGTACCAAAACATCTAAAGTTCAACAAGTCTAAATAAGAAGGGATGCAACCCCCAATCTAATGAACTAATCAACTAACTAGAAAATAGTCTAAGTCCGGAAATGGTGGACATAGACAAAAGAGAACCCATGGCAGCCCGGAAGAATTGGCTCACCCTTGAATTCGAACGATCATTGATCTCCTAAGCGAGGTCTCTCAGTAGCCGCTTAAAGATGTCATGTACTCAACAAAAATAAGAGCAAGTGCAGTATCAGTACACAACCATAGTGTACTGGTAGGATCACGCGGCTATCCCACTAAGTGCATAATAAGAAAGTCAAGACAACATTATAATCACATGCATATATATCAACATATACAATATTAGCAACATTTACGAACAACGAACAACTTCACATTTTATATCAAATCATTGGTCCTCTCATGAAACCTAAACCCAAACAGTTAGCATACCGAAACGTGGCAACTGATCCAAGTTAGTTATGCCAGAACGTGTCAACTGATCCATTCAACACACCATAATCACAAGTATATCATCAAGATCATACATTTAAGTCATGATTTCATGGTAATCATCATTCATCTATCTCATTTACAACAAGTGTGATCAACATTGCAACATTCATACATATACAAGTATCATAATAAAGCAAGAACAAACATACATCACACAATCATAGAATCACAACCATCACATACCTCGAAACAAGCTTGAAACCCAAAAAACACTTGATCCTTCCCTTTCCGAATTCGTTCCACTTGTTCTTGATCTACAAACAATCATAATAACACGAGAATCAATAAAAAATCACTAATTACCTGAATTACTAACAATTTTATGATCCCTAGATCATACCCATGATCCCAATTATCCAAATTAGGGTTGTTTCCATCATAGAATCTCTATACCAAAATCCTCTTCCATCGATATTCACCCATTCTATTACATTCTATAGATCGAAAAATGGATTCGGAGAGTGAAAAGCTTACCTTTAGCCTCAAGAATGGTGAAAAACGAGTAGGAGTCGCCAGGGATTCGTTCCTTAGCTCTAAAAATCAAAAAGTGTCAAATAAGGTCGTTTAAGGGTTTATTAACGACCTTAAGTCACGTCGAGCACACCACAGTTGTCGTCACCCCGCTGTAGCGGCCCCGCCAGAGCGACAAAACCCAGCGCCAAAGCGGGTTACGCGAGACAGTGAGGTAATTAAAGAATTCCAAAATCCTCATTTCACAACACACCTCTAACCCACGATGCTCAGAAAATATCTTTTACCCTAAGATTGATTTCGAGAGTTCTACTCACCCGAATTCAATTCCATAAAGTCGTACGGATTCCTTAACGAGTAATCTATCCCCTCATGAAATCAAAATCATAAATCATTCATTCGATTGTTACCATATTTCCCTACACCTCAAAGACTCCGATTTCGTCCAAATCTGGACAAGGCTGGGAAAATCCAAATACTACGAAAACGTTTTTCCTGCCCCAAATTTTCCCCCGTTGGATTTTCTATAACGACGGTAATAGGTTGTTACAATAGATACCAATTTACCCATCACTAGTCCCCGAGTGACAAACTTAGGAAAATAGGCTAAGGAAGGAATGAAGTAGTACCTGAATTGACGAACAATTGGGGATACTTCTCTCCCATGTCCCTCTCGGTCTCCCAAGTAGCTTCCTCAACTGGACGATACTTCCATTGAACTTTCACGGACTTAATCTCCTTGGTCCTCAACTAGCGCACATCATGATCAAGAATTGCCACCGGTTCCTCCTCATATTGGAGGTCCTTATCTAACACAATTCAGTCCCATTTAATGATATAATCCCCGTCACCATGATACCTCTTCAACATAGACACATGAAATATCGGATGTACACCCGATAGATTAGGAGGCAAAGCCAATCTATACGCTACCGGTTCTACACATTGAAGAACCTCAAAAGGACCAATGTATCTAGGACTTAGCTTTACCTTTCTTACCAAATCTCATCACCCCTTTCATGGGTGATACCTTAAGAAGAACATTTTCACCGGTTTGAAACGCCATGTCTCTTACCTTATGATCCGCATACTTCTTTTGTCTACTCTGGGCTGCTAAAAGTTTAGCTTGAATACTCCTCACCTTATCTTGAGCATCCTTCACTAAATCAACCCCTAAATGTCTCACATCTCCAGCCTCAAACCATCCTATGGGTGATCTACATCCCTTCCCATATAATGCCTCAAATGGTGCCATATCAATGCTGGAATAATTATTATTATTATAGGAGAACTCACACAAAGGTATGAATTTACCCCAATGCCATCCAAAATCAAGCACACATGCCCTCAACATGTTTTCTAGCACTTCAATAGTCCTCTCTGACTGTCTATATGTCTGTGGATGGAAGGCAGTACTAAAAGTGAGTTGGGTGCCCAATTTATCATGCAATTTCCTCCAAAACTTGGATGTGAATTGGGTAACACGGTATGAGATGATAGAGAGGGGCACTCTATGCAACCTCACCATCTCTTTCACATAAACTTAGCCAATTGTTCAACATTATAATCTATTCTTACCGGAATGAAATGGCCCGATTTAGTCAATCTATCAACCACTACCCAAATAGAATCAAACTTCCCTAAAGTCTTGGGAAGACTAACCACAAAATTAATGGCTATCATTTTCCACTTCCATTCAGAAATTGGCATTCTTTGAAGTGAACATGTAGGCCTTTGATGTTCATATTTCACTTGTTGTACAATTTTGACTCTTCGCTTACAAACTCCGCTATGTCTTTCTTCAGGCCCGGCCACCAATAAATTCGCTTCAAATCATGATACATCTTGGTTCACACCCGGATGAATAGAATATCGTGAACCATGAGACTCCGCCAATAATTTCTCAATCAAGTCATCTACTCTAGGAACACAAATTCTTCCTTTAAAAATTGAGCACACCATCTGCATCAAGAGTGGTCTCTTGTACCTTACCATTCACAGTCTTCTTTCTAAGCTCCTTCAAATTCTCATCCTCAAATTGTTGGCCTTGATCTCTTCAATGAATGTGGCCCTCACTTCAATACTAGCTAACACCCCACCTCTTTCTGAGATGCCCAACTGTATGAACTTAGACTCTAAGTTCTGAATTTCCTTAGCCAAAGGTCGCTTGGATACACTCAAGCAAGCTAAACTACCCATACTCACCATTTTTTGACTCAAAGCATCTGCCACCACATTAGCCTTGCCCGAATGGTATTGAATGGTCACGTCATAATCCTTAAGCAACTCTATCCACCTCGCTATCTCAAATTCAGATCCTTTTGACTGAACACATGCGGCA